CAACCATCAATGCACAATGGCAATCGACCGAAAACTAGATACCCACGGCAGTCGACGAGAGGGGTTGCCTTTTTAGAGAGAGAGGCTCTGGGGTAGAGAAAGAAAGGGGAAAGAAAAAATAAAAAAAAATGTATGCAGGCCTTTTATAAGCCTTTCAAAACGATGTCATTTTAAACTTCTGAACTGAGTTCGATCTGCATAGGATCCGCATGCCAACCCAACCTGTTTTACAGGTTTTTTCTTTTATTTTTCTTTTTATTTTCTATTTTGATTTTTTGATTTTATTTATTTTGTGTTGATTTTTATGTTGATTTTTTTATTTTATTTTTCATGATATTATTGTTATTATTATTATTGTTATTTTATATTAATAATTCTTAAAATAAAAATAAAATGAAAATAACATAAAGACTTAAAAATATAATATACAAAAAAAAATAATTAATACTAACTATTTAAGAAAATAAAATTTTATTATAAGCAAAAATGTTATTTAAATTTCACCAAAATGTTGGGATAATGTAAAAAAAATAAATAATAAGAAAAATGATAAATAAAAAAATAAAACAAATTGTTTAATTGAATTATTCAAATGTAATTTTTAAAGAAAGCTAAAAAAGTTTAGTTTTTTTTAATTATTGCAAATAAAAATAATTTTTTGGATTTCACCGTAGAGTTGAGATGATCCAAAATTATTTTTACTAAAACAAAGATTGATCTAGATAATGTAAAACAATAACAAAAAATAAAAATAATTGATATTTTAAATATTTTTTAAAAAAATAATAAAAAATGAAAGAGTTCGATTTTCTTTAATAGAACAAGATATAAATATTTAGATTTTTCCGGTGAGTCAGTATAATCTAAATTTTATAATAAAAATAATTAATAAATAATAAAAAAATTTAAAAATTATCGTAATAAAGATTAATTAATTAATCAATTCCTTTAACTATAAAAAAAGTGATTTTTATTTAGAATCTTGTCCAAAATTAAGATAATCCTAAAACTTGTTCAAAATTTTATGATTTCACCGAAGAGTCGAGATAATTTTAAAGCTTGTTTAATAAATTTTGAGAACTCACCAAAGAGTCGAGATGTTTTTAAAATATTTTTTAAAACAAATAAATAAAATATCTTATGATGAGATTTGAAGAATTTTCTAAATGGTCAATTTTCTCGAAATATTTTTTAAATAGTGATTTTCTATAAATTTTGTCGAAGTGTTAAAGAATTTATAGAATACAAAATAATAATAATATTAATTTCACAACAATATATATATATTTAAATAAATTTTAGGAAATTAAATTTAAATATAAAAAACAGCATTATCAAAATTAAAAGATTACACATATTTAATTAGTATTATTTTTCAAACAAGCGACGTAAGAGTGCTAATACTTTCCTCATTCGTAACCATATTCCTAGACCTAATCCTAATTTCACAGACCTAAATTTCTTTTAATAATTCTTAATTAATTTTAAAATTTTTACTAAAAGATGACATTTTGGATGGCTGATCACACCTTATAAAAAAAATTAATAACGACTCCGAAAATTTTCACCAAATCTAACGATTGAGTCTCAAACGAAAAATTGTTATGACACATATGTTCTATCACTATATGTATTTTAAATAAAATTTTATTTTTGCACATTAATTGCATTCATTCATTGTTTCATAAATGAAACAAAACCTCTTCATCTCTTCATTTATTTATTGATCAAAAGAATTTTTTAAACATAATAATTATTAAACTATTAATATCTTTTAAATAAAATTAAAACAATATATTTACTTAAGGATGAAACGTTAGCCATAATATTTAACATTTCTCACTTTGATTATGCAATTGACGATGAGGATCAGACAAAGGATGCATGTGAACGCACCAAGTGTCACTTCCGTTCTTTGCATGGTCCTTTATTTTAGCCAAAGCTCATGGTCGATGATCAACATATCCTTTTTGGCATTTGTTTTGTGAACAATACTTTCTTGTTATCAAAGAAGCTCATGGTGTACTTGTTTCTTGTATTCAATTTGATGTTCCTTTCAAATTTTAGCTATCTCAGAGGTTAGAGATGATGATTCTAGTTGAAAATGCCTATAATTGCATTGAAGTAATTAAGGATTTATATTTGATATATCTTCCATATATAAAAGCTACACATTATTGGTACATTACAAGTCATTACTTCATTGATTAATAAATTTAAAAAAAGGGTTTAATTAAGTGAAAATTAAAAAATATTTTTTAATTTAATATTTTGAGATATTTATTTTAAAAATCTTTAAGCTTTAATTTTAAGGTGATGATTTGTGATACATTAATAATGTATAATTTATATACATTGATAATGCATTAAATATAAATCTAATAATTAATTAAAAAACAAAAAATAGATATCTATACATGCATATATTTATTATTTTATTTTATTTTATACAAAATAAATTGATGTCACATTAAGAGTTTTAAAAATAATATAAATAATCCTTCATTGTCCAAAATAATACTTTCTCCATTTAATATATTTATCTTTTATTAATTTTTTTAATCAGAGGAACTCAATTTTGATAATTACTAGTAGGTTACTTGCGCTCTTGTTGCGGTTGAAATATTCATGTATAAGTTTTTTACAATAATAATATTTATTAAATAAAAAAAAATTGCAAGTAAAATTCATAATGAAACACAAAAGTAATTCTAAATCAAATTAGAAATCTTTGTAACAAAATAATGAGACAACCAAGTACCAAACATAAGATATAAAAAAAAGTATATAAGTGGCTTATAAAAATAGTTGATGATTGTGAATCAAGAGTATCAAATGGTTTTTGCATAGCTTTTGGTAATTTAGTTGGATTTTTCATATTTTTTTAAGATAAATCTGTATGTTTATGAAATTTTATCTCTTTCGTGAATAGAAAAATCTTTCTTCAATTTCTTATTTCAACATCTGCCCAAAATCTTAACAAGCTTTAGTCTTCTAATAGAAGAGTACACCGAATCTATCAATTAAAATAAGAATATAATAAAAAGTTATCATTCTACATGTTAAAATTATGAAGCTAATTGATATAAAATTAAATATAAAAGCATGAAGCTTAAACATATATATCAAACCTTTAAACTAAATTTTTAAATAAAATCTTAAGTAAACCTATATAAGTTAAAATATTTAAAATACCACCAAAAAATAAAATAAAAAAATGTCATGTAATAAGGAAATAAACGATAAAATCTTAAATAAAGAGAAATTGTATTGAAACAAAAAAAAATACAAAGGGCTAAAAAAAATTAAAATATCTAAAAAATTATAATTGAAATCAATGTCTTACTTACAAAAAATACAGCAATGAAATGAAAAATAAAATAAAATAAAATGTCAGCTAAATAATAAAAATTTAAATTATTTAAAATATCATGAAAATAGAAATAAAACATCGAAATATCAACATCATCATTGTTGTTAATGGAGCTGATGAAGGATAATCTTGTCATATGGACGTTGGGGCACCTCTCTTTCCTTTTTCTATGCTTTCCTAATAGAAATTCAATGATCTGGAGAAAAAAAAAAGCATAGGGTAAGAAACATGAAAAAGAATGAAAAGAAAAGATCTAAAAAGAGAAATAAATGAATAATGGAATGAGATTTTTTTAATTCTTCTTTTCTCTTTAATTTTTTCTCTCTACTCATTTTTTTTTTTTTTGGCAATAACATGTCACATATATCTTTTTATTCTTCGTACATTGCCACATCCTCCATTACGTGACAAATACTTATTTTTGTCTTACATATAATGTTACATCTATCTCTCAACCAAATAACTACAAACTCTCACAAAACTAAAACAAAAGATAACTTTGATAAAAAAATAAAAAAGCAATTGTAAAAAATATAAACCCTTAATATTATTTTAGATCATATTTGATGCATATAATTATTAATAAAATAAAATAATAATTATCATATATCATATTTTATTTATATCTAAAAAAAGAGATAGAAATTATAAAAAAAAGTTAATATCTTCCTAGTATAAAATAATTTAATTCTCCTTAAATAAAAAATATTATTTTTAATTCATAAAATTAAATTTACATATCCAATTATAATCTCAAAAAATTATATCAATAATTTAAATTATATAAACTTTGAAAAAAAAATTTAATAAATAAATAAATTATTTTATCATATTTTTTTTTACATATATCAAATACAGAATAAAATGACATTATTAATTTAATTTTATTTATAATATTATTATATTTTATTTTATTATAATTTTGTGTATCAAATAAAATTGAGAATATTATCTATCCTTTAGACTTGTCAACTAAAAATCAAAAGCAATAAACCAAACATCTTAAAGCTCAAATTCATCTATTTTTATTATCAAATAAGTTGCTTAAACCAAATTAATTCAAAAATAATGCAAGTCATTTCTCTATTTATTTAAGGGTTACTTTTAATATTACGTTGTATTAATTTTAATAAAATTATAAAATAAAATTTTAAAAATTTGAGTTTTAAAAATTTTTAATTACATTTTTAAAATTTTAATTTGGTATAATATTTAGAAATAACAATCAAAATTAAATTTGTTAAAAAAAGTAAAAAATGAACATATAGAATATGTTTATAAATAATAAGAAAAGTGCTGCTAAATACACCTCAATCTTTTTTTTTATATCTCAACTTATTTTTTAAAAAACTTTTTATAAATAAAATTATTTAATTATCCTTTCTCTTTTACGTAAGTTTTCAAAAATAAATTTTTAAAAAAATTATAAATTTTTTCAAAAATAAATTTTAAAAAATTATAAAATTTTTAAAAAATAAATTTTCGAAAAGTCAAATTTTTTGAAATGTTTGTGATTTTTCAATTTATTTTTTAAAAATGATAGAACTCCAAAAAATTATAAGAAGGATAATTAATAATTTTATTTATAAAAAATTTAAAACAAAAATTAGATGCGAAGAGCAAAAAATGCGGTGCATTTAGCATCTTTCTAGTAAGTATACTGTTCTAACTTCTAAGCCAAAAGTCCCAACCCAAACCGAGCCGCCTCAGTGCCCTAACCTTCCCGACCGGCCGACCCTCCTCGTTTTCATAATGAACCCCTCATCATCATAATTAATCAAATTTATTATCCTGTTCACCCACCTACCCTCAGTCTTCTTCGCTTCATCCCTCTCTCGCTGAAATATCAAAAGATAAAGGAAAAACGTTCCCATCTCCTTCAACCACACCATGGCAAGAGGTTCCTCTCAGTCGCAGTCCTCCACTTCATCATCAGCATCCCGTCCAGGTGTCATGGCTCCTCGCGGCTCCGCTGCCGCCACAGCCGGTATGCGTCGCCGCAGGCTTGTCGGAGGCTCCTCATCTGCCTCCGCCTCAGGCTCCGTCGGCACCGGTTCCGGAAGCAACATGCTCCGATTCTACACCGACGATGCTCCAGGCTTGAAGATCTCCCCCACCGTTGTCCTCGTCATGAGTCTCTGCTTCATAGGCTTCGTCACCGCTCTCCACGTTTTCGGCAAGCTCTATCGGGCCAAAACCGGAGCTGGACCGTGAGTCATGACTCGAACCCGATCCTTCTTTTCGGATCTCTGATCAGTTCTTGAATCGATAACTGAATTCCACTCTTTTCCTCTTTCTTTGTTGTCGTTTCGTTTGACCATTTTGGTTTTAGCTTTGTAAATGATGAATATCAAACTTTGTAATTACTTAGCATTTTTAATGCGTTGAACTTTTAATTTCGTTGATGTTAGTATTACTTTCCAAGGCAATGAATCTGTTTTTTTTTTTTTTTTTACTCTTTTTCTTTCAATTTCCAGAAAAGGGCTTTGCTCATCCTTTCTGAAGGTTACATTTACAACGAAAGAAAAGGGTCAATTTTTTCGGCATTTGTTATTCTTCTGTGATAATGGCTGAAATTTATACAGAACGTAGCCTAACCCACCACCAGCTGCCTTATTACATTTGAAACGGTCGGTACCAAAAAAACGAGAATGAAAGTTAGATTTGGTCAACCTAACTCCGGCGGCGAACGGAAGAAAAAACGAATCCTCGACCTCGCCAAATAAAAATAGAAGAATTGGGCGCGGTGTTCACGCTGTTATTTCAGTTTCCAGCTCCCATACCAATGTATCCGCTCTACCCCCAATTTTCCACCCCAAAATTAGAAACAGCACCGAAATGTGAAAACCATGGAGCTAGAATCAGACCGAGAGAAAACAAAATGACAGTTTTTTTTCTCCTTTCTCTTCTTTTACTAATTCCAAAACGGAAATTAAAAGACGACGGTGATTGACTTCCTCTTCCGAGTCAACAAAATATGCAAGAAATATGAAAAGGACGATCCCAAGAAGCAACGCGAATCCAATGCCTTCGCTCGCCTCTACGCTCTCGTTGAAGCAGACATTGAAACGCTTCCATGTTAGATTTCATTTCCTTACCATTTCGTTTTATTGTTTTCTATTCAAGCCTTAAAATTTTTTTTTAACAAAACAATTTTGGAACAAATGCTGAAACCAAGATGATCTCGGTAGAGAAGAATAGAGCAGCGGCGGTGGCATTGAGTGCTGAGGTTGGTCGATAAAGGCTCGACTGAAGGAGGAAGTTCCTAAGCTGCAAAAATTGGCTAAAAAGGTCTAATTCTATTTACTTAGCCTTTTTTGGTAAGCTCCAAAAACTGTTCAATATTAGCCTTTGACATAATGAATAGCATTTGGATTTTCTCCTGCAAGCCAAAGTCAAAAACTTTGGATATTTTAATTTGTTAAAAAATTATCTTTCACTTTAATAATGAGTTATTTCATTTCTGTACGTAGCAGTAGATTTTATAATAGTTAAATATTACTAGCATGAATTAGAGTGAGATTACTAATAAAAGAAAGTTAGGCATTGATTTGCCAATGTTAAAAAATTTCAGCATTGTCCTGATTGATTTTACCAACTCAAGAATTCAGAAGATTGGCAGTGGATTTTATTGAAAATGTTATTGGTATCTAATTACAGGTCAAGTGAATTTCCAAAGAGGATCAGGAAACTCATTTTGATCCGGTTCTTGCACTACCCGAGTGGATGAAAGCCATTCCAGATGGGTCTAAAACTGCTGCAAACCAGTTCGGTGGATGGGGAGATTCATCATGTAACAAAAACATCAAATTTGGCTCATCAGGTAAATTGGGGTAATGCTTCCTCCCCAAGTTACGGTTATCTTTAAAGCATTTTTTAAATTGATTATCGATTTTTACTTCACCTTTTTCCCCACCCTTTATCAAACCTTCTAAGGAGCGCTTTGATAGTGAATTTTACCAACAAACTGAAGAGTTAAATCAATTTAGACAAGAATATGAAATAAGAAAAATGAAACAGGCATGTAAGGTTCCTGATATTTAATCTTTTTGGTAATATCTTTAATATATGCTATGCAATCCAAAGTGGTTGCCACTATCTATATGCACTGTCATTTTATTATATTTAACATTCATGCAGGATGAAGGTCTTGATATTATATAAGAAGGATTGGACACAGTGAGAAACATAGCTCTTGACATGAATGAGGTTTGTTGTTATGTGTATAATTTTGGTTTGCTCATGATATTAGGAGCAACAAGAGATTAATTATTTGTTTCAATTTGTTCAGGAAATAGATAGACAAGTTCCTCTAATGGATGAAATTGATGCAAAGGTGAGAGTTTTGTTACTTTTCATGTCTTTTTAGTTTGGCCTTAGAATCGATTAATCAAACAACTATGGACGAGATTCATAAATGCATTTCTCAATGTTACTATGATGATTTTACAGGTCGACAAGGCAACATCTGGCATTCAAAGGACTGATGTTAGACTCAAGAAATCTGTCACCCAGGTAATTCATACAAATGTTAGTTTCAATTGTCAAATTCCAGCTGTATGATTTTCTGGGATTAATTAGACATTCTTTTTCTAGAGTGGTAATGGTATACCAATAAATAGCATTTTGCTTTTGTTGCAGATAAGATCCAGCCAAAATTTCTGCATTGACATTATTCTGCTGTGTCTCGTTCTAGGGATTGCTTCCTATTTGTACAAGTAAGTTCCCTATCTTATCTTCTTGCATTTCTGATTTTAAGATCATCTTTCTAGATGCAAATGTTAAATGCTTTTGCCACTAGCACTCGACTTTATTTGTACAAGTAAGCTCCTATCTTATCCTCATCTCCTTTTCAATCATTTTGCTCGAGAGAACTAAATCCAATATCTCTCTTTATATTATATCAATTCAATTTTCAGTCTCCCAACATCTCCTTTTGATTTCTTCAATAGTACTTGTTCTTATGAGATTAGTCAATTTAAAACGCTTGGATTAGTTTTTGAGGTAAAAGTTTTCCTTTTATGCTTTTGCCAGTACTTCCTAATTTAGGTGGTCAGAAATATTATTTTCTCATCTTGTGTATAGAACTGATAGCACTGTGCACCGTATCAATTGGACTGGATTTTATACTTGCTTCATTGTAGATCATCTTAATAATTCTAGAACTAGATAATATGAGAATTGTATATATTACTTGTTGATAATCTTTTAGTTTGCTGTGCTTTTGACTCAGAAATGTTTCTAATGAGACCTTTCTCTGTTTTTAGAGGCTTCTTCCACAGCTTCTTTGATTATAGTGGTGTATGGTACAAAATTCTTCCATTAATCGAGGTTTTTCATGTATCCATTTAGCATGCAGCTTGTTAGTCATTTATTGTACTGCCCTCAGGAAACTGCTTTGAACTGGGTTCTTTTATTGACTGCTAGATTGTTTATGTTATTGTAACAGGACATTATCTTTTTGTTCTGCAGTGATATGAATGGCTTCACATGCCAAAGAATATAGATCTTTTTTTTACATTTCAGAATTTTTAATTTGACGACTGTTATACTTTCTAGGAGGCACTTTCTATTTGTAGCAATAATATTAGTCCATTTCACTGCAGTTTCAATTCAGAAAGCTCACAAATATACCACTACTTAACATGCTTCACCTGTAGATCACAAAAACAACAAATAATACATAGACTGCTGATTAGATTTACACATTGCCAGCAATCAATTTGGTGAGCCACTCCCATGTGCCCTTATCTCTGTTCATAATGTGAAATTTAGGTTCCTGATTATGAATCAGGGCCTTTTTGTGTTCATTACCTTAATCATATATATGTGAAGGCCAATTATTAAGCTTGTGGAATTCAATAATAGAATCTGTTGGGTAAGGGTTGTAGATCCCATCTTGATATTGGTTTTGGCTGCAGTAGTTCAAATCATTTTGCGGAACTATCTTGATAGGTGGAAACTCCTCATTTCTTTTGTCATTGTTCCGCTTCTTGTCAGATGGAACGAGATTCTCTTGCTTATTTGCCAAACTAAATTTTCTTTTCAGTGGGGTGAAATTACCATCCAAAGGAGGAACTAAAAAGGGCAAATTCTCATTGTCAGAACCTTCTTCACTAACTGAAATGAAGCTGTTTCTTCCCTGAAATGTGGCAGTTGAATTCATCTCCATAGGAGATAAAGCTTGTCCAGCAAGAAGCAAAGCTAATACTTGGCAGTCTTGGTTTAGGCAATCTATTATCATGTCAGTTCTACAGTGTGTAAATGTAGGTTGCATCTTCTCAATCGTGGGTGAGTACCTCATCAATTCTGTGCTGTTGCTGTCTTGAACTTCTAATGTATTATTTGATATGTTGCCTTTTCTCCGAACCCGACATAGCACCCAATCATCCAACTGTGGAAACAAGAGATAAGTTTTTTCATGCATGTAATTGAATTTGCCTTTGCAAAATTGGTCTACATGATAGCTTGGAGATCTGAGGGGAGAAATACCCTGTTTTCATCATGGTGCCAAACTCATATATAGGTCCCATTTATCTCTAGTATTGAATACCCTGGATCTTGAGAAATAGTTACCTACATGAAAGTGCCATATTGTATATTTGACTGACCAGGCTCATTTTCTAAGCTCAATCTTTTGGAGTCAGAAACCTCAAAAGTTTGTTTGCCCTGATTTTAAAATGTTTAGAGTATTGTGTCATAAGTTATCTAGGGACAACTTATGACCTCACTAGCTAACTTTTCAATATATTAAGATCTAAAATGTAAGAATCAATTTCAAGAGTTGGAATGCATTGGTGGTTATGCTGTTCCAGTTTAGGACAAGAATGTCCGTTCTTCTCGTGATGCTATTGTTCATACTTTTGAAATATACACTAGCTATAATCTTCTCTATAAGCCTGTCGGAAATGCAGAAAAAGGAACAGTATGGTTAGAATGTTCTGGCTTTGCCTGAAGAGAAAAATGCTATGTGTATCATATCATAATCTGATCTCCAAGGTTCTTATTTATAAATGATATGAAGGTAGTTTGCCTCTCTAGATTATTGGACATAGGTTTTAGATAGTTTGCCTTTAGCATCTTTATCCCTGATGGAAATAAAGTAAGACAGTAAAGATGCAAAAGAGTTAAAGAACTTCCTATTGCTCCCAGGTTGTATTTTTAATGCAGACCATACACCTTCTATTCCTTGTAGTTATGCTTTAGCATAAGCTATCGTCAGTATGAAATACTATATTCCTGTTTCTAAAATACTTAAGAAAAGTGTTAGGTAATTAGTGTCATGTAGATCATCATGCCCACTTACTCTCATGGACCCTTTTAATCTTGAGGTTTTAATCATCCTGTCCAACAATCTGTACTCAATCATAATCCACTCTGTCTTAACTCCCTTGGGGGGTCTACCTGTGTAAAAGACCAGTGCCTTCTTGACTCCAATGTTCTTTGATCCAGAAGAAGTGAGTATAGGCTTGTCAGTACCGGTAGCCTTCCAATAACCCGAAGCTGCAGCTCTGTTTGGTCTTTCTCCATTTGGATACTTTCTGTCTCTGGGACTGAAGAAATACCATTCATCTTCTCCAAACAAAGCTTTCTCTGCAAAAAATCAAGGTTGTTCAATGGACGATAAAAAGATAGTATTATAACTTGATAATTGGAGAGAATGAAAGATGAATGATGATTAGATAGTGCAGAAGAAATACCGGGTAGCTCCCATGGGTTATATTTATACAGATCTATTTCAGCAATTACAGATGCTGGGAGTGGATGTGAAGTCACTTTGTTTTGCAAGTAATGAATGATGAGCTCCTCGTCAGATGGATGGAACCTAAAACCAGGAGGAAAATGAAGTTTTGAGTTTGGTTCTCTCTCCATGGAAGATGGTTTTTTCCTCTTTCTTATAGGTTTTGATAGAGACCTAGGGAATGAAGAAGAATCAATAGAGTAGTATTATAAAAGAGCAGAGTGTCAAGGTTTATATATATGGGCAACCTAGTACATATAGGGGCATCATTTAAGATAATAAACAGGAAATAAACAATTAATATTTGATAGAGGTTTAAAGACATGGGAAGGTAGAACAACTTGTTTGGCTTTACCCTGTCGAAACTTGAAAGTGATATCTATTTACAAGCCTCTTGGAAGCAACATTGCTTTCGGTAGTACCCTTTTGTTCCCTTGACGATGATGTGAGGACACTGTACACTTACATAGTTTATTGTGATTAATTAGGATCTTAATTAATTACTAAATTTACACATTGAAAAAGAGAAAGTTGGCATAAGAATGGTGCTTAGTGTCACTATCATTGCTGTTCTGCAATATGTTTAGAGCTAAAAGAAAATTTCTAGCCTAAAATAATTAGCTCAATAAATGCATGAACTACAAAATTTTGAGGCATCTTATCACAAATATACACTTCAAAGAAGATTGCTTGTTTTGATTGCTTTTAACTTCACATATTGTGAAGCTCTCCTATTTCCATCATCGTTGTTTGATATTTGTCTATGAACTTGTTTTGATCGCTTCAACCTTCTCATATTGTGAAGCTTTCCTATTTTTATCATTGTTGTTTGATAGTTGTATATGAAAAACCTGCAAAATGTTACTTTGCTTAAACACATAATCTGAAGGAGAAGAACACTAGGTTTTGTACATGTAAACAGATTTATCTTTTCAGAAACGTAAGTCTTTCAGATCAAAGTTAGAATTGATTCCGATAAATAAGGTTTTAATTGAAATGTGGTGATCAAATTCTGATTGTTGAAACTGCTTGATTTAGAAATATTGTTAATTCCTTGATATCCCACGATTGTGCTGCATTGCATGGACTTGCTTTTCAGATAATTGACCATTCTATGTTGTAATTTAGCAGAAAAGATGCTGTTTTTGTCTCCATTCCTTTCTTTAACATAGTTTTACACGAGCCATGGTCCCTGGAGAAGTGCAAGTGTCATTGCTTTGTGGAAAAAAAAACATAACAAAGCCATACGTGGAGAAAAAATCTCTTGTTCCTTGTTTGGTCTTTGTGTCTCTTTTTCTAACTTTTGCCTTGAATCAATGTAGTTAGACATGTTTTATTCTTAATTCCCAACATACCTCTTTTGGATGAGATTGGAAGTCTCATTTAGATGAGAACAAATTGATGATACCTAGGCCTCATTTCTTTGTTAATGGAGACCACATGGTCTTTTTTCTTTCTTTTAACTTCTATCTTTTGTTATAGTCTTGTAAAATTAACCTTGTTTGACTTGATTTAATAATGTCATTCTCTGTTGATACGAATCCTTGGCTATATGTGTAAGAATTAAGCATTGTCAGATGATTGTTACTTAATTTGTCGAAGCCCTTCATGCTCCATTGCGTCAGAAGCATATATGCTGTTTAGTTCAAAACAAAAATGTTTGGACTAAAATCCGGAATAGGCCAAGCTCCTGAAACGAGAACAACAGTAAGAAGTAAAGGCCGGCGTGGCTTCATCTTCGGAGTATGTGCTGCCAAACTTAAGTCAGTGAAGTAAAGGAAGAGGAAAAGGTAAGAGGGCAAAGTAAGAAATAGGAACATTGAGAGAAATTAGTGACCTCCCGTATCTGGAGGGAGGGAGGGTACTTATACCTAAGGGATGACATGGCCGGATCTCAATTACCCGACCTGACGTGGCAAGTTCCGAACCAACGTGGATTAGTTGATCTTACGTGGCGTTTTGGCAACCAATATTCAAGTGATATGTCAGCTTGGTCAAGTGAAATAAGTGAAATATCAGTTAGTTTACTGCGTTGGTATTGGCGAAGTGTGCTCCAAAAAATCAAGTCAGTTCGTCACTTCAGTTAAGTCAATCTACTAAAATACTTTTGAGATTTTAAAATATCTTCAAGTTGGGAAAACACTATTTTACTTTTAAAATCTAAAATGAATATCTCAGAAATTATAAAAATCATGAAAAATTAAAAAATATATCATTTATAATTATTATATTATAACTAATCAATCAAAATTTAAAATTATTGGAGATTTATCGAAATTTTTATATAATTTTTTTATTGTAATTGAATAATTGTAAAATTATAATAAAAAATTTATAAGTAAAATGCAAAAAAATTTACGGTAATGTGGCCGGGCTTCATTTCTTTAGACAACATGCTAGGAAATGATAAAATTCTTCGCTGTTTCCACATGATAAAAGTCTCGAAGCCCATTTCTCAATATCAAAATTATTGGAACAAAAGGACAAAAACACTAAAGAACAAGAAAATACTAAGTATATATTTTTACTTTGTGTTTAAATACTTGTAGAACATAATATTTAGTTTTATTCAAATCCTTGTTGGATGGACGAAATGGAATGCTATTGTTTAACTATTTTCATTTTTTTATATCAAGAAAAAAATTTTAATAAAAAAATTGATTATATGTCATTTATAAATAATATGGATTTCACTTTCTATAAGATTTATGTTACATTTTGATCTTGATTTTGTGAAAATCCTTATGCTCTAAATAATTGGTGTCAGTGAAATTTTTAGACTTTATAAATAGGGTTGAGAGACATATACTTCTTAGAATATATTTAAACAAATAAAAAGATTAAAAAAAATTGGATGTATTATTATTTTAACCACGTTTGTAAAACTAAAAATTCATAATGACAATATATCAAATATTAACTTTATAATTAATTGCATTTTGATAATAATTTTCTAGAAAGTATTTTATATTTAATATTTTAAAGTAATATTTTATTCACAGCCTATAAATTTTTCATTCAATAAATCATAAATAGTCCAATCTATATATCCAATAATTTTAATTATTGATAAAATGTTTTGCTTAACATTTATTTGTCACTATGACCACATCTTTTGGTAATTGATACTAAAGTGTTTATGCATCTATATATTTAATTGAGTTAATTATACTTTTGATACTTAAATTTTGAAAAAAAAAATACAAATTAGTATCTAAATAAATAAAATTTATAATTTCTATCCTGAACTTTCAAGTAAAATATAATTTACATCATAAACTTTTAAATTATGTATTATATTAATCCAAACTCTAATCGTATTAATTATATCAACTTATATAAGTGGCGTTTGAAGATTATTATTAAGTTATGTGTTCATTACACATACTAGTAATATCTCTTTTTAATATAAATTAAAAATATATGTTTTTAATTTATTTAAATCATAAAAAATATCTAAAATCAATCAATCATTTTTTGTTACATGACATTTATATGACAATTTTTACAAAATATTTTAACTTTTTTTATTTAACAAATAACATGCATATAATAAAATTATATTGACTAATTACCATATAAGCGAGTTAAATTAATAATATTATAATTTAGATTAAAATAATATATTATTTAAATTTCATAACACAAATTGTATATTTTATTTCTTTAAGTATTAATTTGTGCATTTTTTTTCAAAATTCTGATAAACTCTAATCAATTCAAAGTGCAGTTTCATATGTCTATTTCACATTTGAAAATTTTGTTGCGGACCGTACGGGCATTGGCGAATGGGGAAGTTTCGTTGCCCACCTAAAAAGTGAGATGATAAATTTTCACATGCAAATAGGCTAAATCCATAATTTTTCTTAAAAGAAAAAAGCATCTGTCTGAATATATATAGTACATTTGGTTGGATTATGGTATGCATGTGAATCAAATGCAAGGGGAATTTTGAAAAATTTGAAGGCTCTTATTATAGCTTATAGGAAAACAAATTTTCCCATTCAAAAATTTAAAATTCAAAGCCTACTTTTGCAGGCGAAGGAAGCTTCTCTCTCGCCCCCACTCTTTTTGTCTCTTGACACACAAGAAGTAATATTTTTTTTAAGTTTATTTTTTATATATAAAAATAATCGTAATTTAAAAAATAAAAAAAATACAAATGTGGATATCAATTATCAATTTTATGAAAAATTATTTTTTAAAAAATAAATAAATAACTTGAATTAAATCTCGTATTTTTATTTACAATATAATTACTCCTTGAAGAAGTTACATAATCTAAGAGGGGTGATTTGAGTGCTGATTTTCTAAAAGCTTGAATTAGTATGGTACAAAGAGAGTTCAAATTAATTAATCCCAAAGTTAGTTCAATGTGAAGAGAATTACTGAGTCAACTCGTACAAGATTCTGTTATTAATTGCTTGGCAGGCAAAGCTTAGGCAGGCAGATTTCAAGAGAGAAAAATGTGAGTGAGAGTGTGTCTTGGTCGTCGACAAATCAAGCAGTGCCGGTCATCTCTTGTCTTTGTATCTATCTGCTTTGCTACTGACAATCTCTTTGGTGGGTCCCTTCCCCTCCATTGCGCCCACTCACCTCTCACGGACGGCACCCCCTCTCTTCTCAATCTTTTCACCTTTTTTTTCTTAATATCTTCATGGTTCTCGCTACAATTATAGCATAATCATTTTTACCTCTTCAACCAAACTGCAGGTTGGCTGTAAAGGCAACTCACTTTTCTTTCTTTCACCCCGCTTTACAAATCAATTTGATTCGATCTTTTTCAACTTTTCTCTTTTCCATTACTAAACATTCTTTTCTTCAAATAATAATCAACTTCGACTTCAGGTTTACTTCAGCCCTCATTATACAACCTTTGATTCTTAGTCATTTCCGCTTTTTTCCTCGCTATATCTTTCCCTTTTATGTATATATAAAATTTAATATAAAATAAATATGATATATAAATTGGCAAATCTATTTTTACTTCTGTTACGTATAGTATTTTAATAGAAATACAAATAAAATATGGAAGTATTATTATTATTTTTTATATATAGAGGTGGTCCAGCTGAGTCTCTGGCTGACTGACTTGGAGAGAAGCCGTGTAAGATAAGGAGAAAGAAATAGATGGGAAGAAAATATTCTCTCCAGCTAGCTTTCTTTTTGGTGTTTTCTTCTGAGTTTTAAGCCAAAAAAACTGAACAAGCTCTTCAACCAAACAAAAAATTGATATCGATTATCCTGAGTTAGAACTAGTTCAAAAATCAATCTTTCTTTTGATTTAAAATTTAAGAAATAAAAAACAAGGAAAGTGAGTGAGAGAGATTTGTTGGGTTGTGTTTACTTTGTAGCTAAGCTTTTGTTTTGTAGTAGTATCATCAGTTTTGAAGTAGTAGTTTGCCCAAAGCTGCTTCAGCTTGGGAAGTTTGTTTATTTTGTTAAGCTACTTTGGGATAGATAGCAGTAGTTGAATTCATCAAAGTAGCAGAAATGATGTCTCAAGATGGGATTTCTGTTCCCTCAACTACCGGAGGGTTAGCTCAAGAGCCGAATCCAAACCCTAACCCTAATCCTACTGCCAATCCAGTGAAGAAGAAAAGAAATTTGCCAGGAACACCAGGCAAGTTTTTATATTATTAATTTTCTCTATGAACTTCAATCTTCTTTTAATTATTGTTTTTAGAACATTTATTCTTGATGGGTTTTTTTATTTGATTAAGCAGATCCAGATGCAGAAGTTATAGCCTTGTCCCCAAAATCTCTCATGGCAACAAACAGATTCCTCTGTGAAATCTGCAACAAGGGTTTTCAAAGGGACCAGAACTTACAACTCCATAGAAGGGGTCACAATCTGCCATGGAAGCTGAAGCAAAGAACAAACAAAGAAGTTAGAAAAAAGGTTTACATCTGCCCTGAAAAGACCTGCGTCCACCATGACCCATCAAGAGCACTAGGAGACCTCACGGGAATAAAGAAGCACTTTAGCCGAAAACATGGTGAGAAGAAATGGAAGTGTGAGAAATGTTCAAAGAAGTATGCAGTTCAGTCGGATTGGAAAGCTCATAGTAAGATTTGTGGCACTAGGGAGTACAGATGTGACTGTGGAACTCTCTTTTCCAGGTGATCGCAAATGCAATATATATAGTTTATGGCATCTGATCTATTGGTTTAAATTAATTACTATATCTGCTTCGTATGATTAGTTTGTTGAAGAATTAAATGCTACATTTCATGAGATATATTTAACATCGGAATTTAATGAGGTCTGAGTCTGACGCAAAAGGGCTATTTATCAGCTCTTAATAAACGAGTTGAAATGGGTTTTTATTTATTTATTTATTTGTTTTTTTTTTTTATCATACAGGAAGGATAGCTTCATCACTCATAGAGCTTTCTGCGACGCTTTAGCTGAAGAAAGTGCAAGATTCACTTCGGTTTCAACGACTATGAATCCTGCAGCCTTTAGAAATGATATGATAAATGGGGCCAATAACAATGCTCAAGCGACAGGGATGCACCAGTTTTCATCAGGCTTTAGGCCAGAGTTTGCTGGTTCAGATCAGCTAGTCGACAATCTGAATTCAAGTGGGCAAAAGCCAAGGCTACAGTTATGGCTCGACCAAGCTAATTCTCAACTTAACCCAATTGCTATTCCAAGTAATGCTAATGCTTTCTTAGCACCAAAATCTACAAGCTTGCCTGACTTGGGAATAGCACCAATGAACATGTTTGGATCACTACCACAGATACAATGGCTCAGCAAGTACCCGGAGGCATCATTTCCTGGTGCCAACCTCTCTATGTCAGTATTGCCACGAGGACCAAAAGAAGAAGAAGAGAACAAGGGAGATTTGTGTGAATCCATAATATCTTTGTATTCGAACAATTCCCGGAATAGTCTCCAGCAAAGCCACGCTCACATGTCGGCCACAGCACTCCTGCAAAAAGCAGCCCAAATGGGATCTACAAGGAGCAACCCAGCGTTCAATAACAGTGGCTTCGGGTTAATGAGCTCATCCCCCTCTACTATGTCAACCTCCAATACTTATGACCAGAACAAGAATGAGATTTACAAGCTATGCAAGCAAGCAAATCAATACGAGAACATAAACGAATTGGTGAGTTCATTGTCTTCAACTCAAGCAACCATTATGAAAGATGTGTCTGCATTAGGTGATTTAAATTCGAGCTCATTTGTCAATAAAACCACCAAGAATATGGAAAATCTGGTGATGCAAGCTAATGGGAAAAAAGGCGGTCAAGCTGTTGTGTCAAAGCTGAACACAAATTCAAATGAAGTTGAAGCCAGCTTAACCAGGGATTTTCTTGGTGTGGGAGGTGAATCAAGCAGACCATTCTTGCAACAAGAACTTGCCAAGTTTGCTTCAATGGGTCCAGTCCAACCATGGAGTTGATTACGCTTAGACTCTCAAAGTGTATAATTGAGCTACATGCTAGTAGAAGGTAAGAGCTAGCTGGCTAGCCTATGAAGGCAAATACACTGTTAAATTAACTAGGTTGATTAGTGATGAGTTAGTACTCGGAAGAACTGAACCAGCAGCGAGTCAACTCGGAAAGGGGAGTCTTGTGAATGGGAAGTGGGGAGGAGGGGGGCCACTGGATTGCGTGGTGGAAGAGACTGAAGAGAAAGGGACATGGCAGTGTTTGGGCCCTCCATGCACGTAGATTTTTCACCTTTTTATTGCTAGCTAGTACAGTTCTTTGGTTCTAGTAGTACTAGTTTTTTTTCCTTTTATTTTTTTTAAATGTTGATTAATTAAGCTACGGTTGTTGTGACCACTTGTTGCACTGTCTTTTCCCTTACTGTGAACTGCTGTCACCATTTTCCAAGCTGGACTCAAATAAAATGTTACAATTAAGTATGTTTAGGCTCTATTTCCTCTTCTCCAAATTCTAACAAAAAAAAAGTCACTGTCGTAAATTTGCAGAAAAGTTTTTTTTTTTTTTTAATTACATCTTAATTTTCCAATCTAAATTCATGTAATTTTTTATTTGGTGACCAAAAAATTTATTAGAGATAGAGAAAACAAGTATGTATAACTTGTCATAAAATAGAAAATCACCCGACACTCAAAACGACATTTCAAAACGCGTTTTGATATTTAAATTAACAAAGATAAAAAAAAAAAGTAGAATAATGAAATTATTTAATTTTTTTGAATTTTTTATTTTTTTATTTCTCATAAATGATAATGCTATTAACTGAGCTGTCATATGTAAGACTTGCAAACGTGGCCATTTAGATATAATAGAATAAAAAAATTTTAAAATAAAATCTCGAGTGTTAATCCTTAGAAATATTGTTCCCCTAATTGTTAATTAGCTTGTTTTGAGTTGAACATTAATTTTATTTTGTGAAGTGAAACAATTTCAAAAACTTGACAAATTGCACGTATTAGGGAATTTGAGACGTGAATTTGAAGTAACTTAATTAAGTAATTTCAAAATAAGCCTTGCTAAAATGTTATTTATAATTAAGAAAAAAAAATTAATTATACAGGAATTTTTTTGTACCTTTATTTGGAAAGGGCCTATTTATATTTTATATTTAATTTGGAAATAGAAAATTCATTTTTAAATTTAAAACTTGTTATTGAGAAAAACCACTTTAATTTTTTTCCCATATTATGTATGGAAGTATGAGTAAATTAATGCACCTATTATACATGATATTTTATACAATTTTTTTTTCATTTACAATTTTTAAAACTCAAATTTGAAACTACATCCTTTTAAAAATATTCTAATCCATCGTTTTATCAACCACTTTTAAAATTTTAATGAAATACAACGCAGAGTGTTTACATATGTATGATATAAATTTTAGTCCAAAAGGTCATAAGAGTTCAAAAAATTTTTTTTTTTTTTATCATTTGGACTTACAAGTAGTGTTAACGTGAAATTTATTCAATTTTAATTATGAATGATGGAATAAATGAATTTAAAATATTTTTAAAAGTTGAATGCAAAATTGGTATTCTTATAACTTTCAAAATGAAACCAATAAATTTTGTTTTCAGATTCTGATATCAATTCTGAATTCATAGACTAAGCTAGCTATTTACTCTACACATAATAGAAAAGGTCTTACGTTGGTTATATTATAAATATATATATATGGAAGAGACTAAGTTATATTAAAGAAGTTTTATATTTTTATATTTTTTTAATTATTAATTTTAATAAATTGAAGAGATGAGATTAAATTATTTTTTTTATTTAACTTGTCTCTTTTATTTATTAAATTTATTAAAATTAATAATTAAAAAATATATAAAAGTAAAAATTTTTATACAAACATAAATTAATTCCTCATATATATTATTAATATCATACTTTGAGTTAGAGAGATTAAAGTAAATTCTGCTTTGCATTGCATTTGTCATACCAAAAAGTTCTGCTCGTATTTTGAGAATAGAAAAAAAAAAAAAATCCACATCACATTAATATCGATAAAAACCTTACAGAATCTTCTGTGGACTGATCACTTTGTCCATTACCAGGAAGAGCATAATCGACTTTACCTTTTACTAATTGTTGTGTATGTGTACTTGAAACCCTGAATTAATTTATCTAATTAAAATTTTTTAATTAATACTTTTTTTTTTCAAATACATATTGTCTTAAAATGAGATATTAACAAGAGACAATCAACTATCATAATTTTTTATTTCATAATAAAAACTAGATGCTTTAAATTCTAATAACAAATAATGATTTGTATTCTTTTGAGTATTTTTTTATATTAAAATTTGAATATTAAATTTGTTGAATATCATTTTAAAAATATTATATTAATCAATTGAATTAAATTTCATATTCATTTTCTCAAGTATTTGATTAATGAATTTTGCTAATGAATACTTTTAAAATATTCTTTAAGATGAATTAACATATTATTTAAAATAATATTTTGTATTAAATGTAATAATTGATAATTACTATAATAATTTTAATTCATTGAATTTTTTTAATACAATAACCTTAATAAACAAAATTATATATAAAATTTTATATATTGAAAGCATAGATGCGCCATGTGTTGAAGATGCCTGCACGCATGATTGGCTGTGAGTTACTTTTTAAGGTGCATTATTGTTTTGATAAAATCTCGAAATAACAAGCCTTAACCTTTTGTGCAAAAGTTAGCATGCACATGTTCACATTTATTATTTTTCGGTGCAAAATTCTACGAGAAAGCTATCGTTCTCAATTAAGTCTTGTAGTTTGGGAACCAATCAACGCGTTATTGTTACTACTTTCACATTCATAGTCATTGCAACATGGACTTTAATATATTTTTGGTTCATCAAAGTTTTTTTTTCAACATTTTGATTGTTGATATATATTTGCAATTATTTTTTATGATATTTTTTATATGTTTTAGGTAATGATCATTTTAATTTGCAATGATGTTTCATAATCCTTTCTTAAGAATGCTTATAAGAATAAAATATTTGACATAAATAACAAAGAAAATGTAGGAAAATAAATTAATATATTACTATCTTAATTTGTAGTTGTTGAATTTGGGCTTTCATTTTTTATATGCTTAATTAAATTTTGCAAGGAAAAATTAGTTAATTAAGAGTCAAATTTAAGATTTAACTCAATTGATTATACAATTATTCTTAAATAATGTAACATTTCGTAAATCTGATATTTGAATATCAAAATTTACAATTATTTCTTCTATTATCAACTACAACCTCTTTTGTTAGAAAAATAATTAAGAGTCAAGAAACATTAATTGACAAGTTGATTGAGATTTTTGCGTAATATTGTCCAGCTAACCATAATTTAATTAGTTGAAAATACATGCTACCAATATCTGAAAAGAAGCAACTGTCCTTTTTTTGGAAGACAATTTGAGCACAATTTGCCGTCCTTTTATGAAAACGACTTTTTTAGCTATTATTCTTCCTTACTACTTTTCCAAAAATCAAATTAATATCAAAGAATGGAGAGAAAAGTTCCCACCTAGATTTACCTTTGCTACTTCACCAAAAAGGAAGATACAAAATTTCTTGTTATCTTATGTTAAATTTAAGTATATAAATAATACATTAGTACTTACAAACTATCTAAATTCGATTCGAATAAAACTAAAATTTGGCTTGATTATTATCTAGTCGAGTAGTTCAACTCATCGATCCAACCAAGTTTGAGCATTTTTATATCTAGCTCAAATAACTAGCAAGCCTAGCTTTTATAGTTAAATATATTTTTATTATTTTAATTAATAAAATATTTTAAATTCGAGCTCGAGCTTGAGTTGAAGCATAAATAATCGAGTTTTTGTTATATATAAGAATCAAGCTTATTTTTATATGTTAATCGAGCCTAATCGAGTGAATTTGAATAGCTTGATTTTTATCTCGAGTGAGCTCGAGTTAGAAAAATAAAATTTGATTGAGTTTGAGTTGAGTTTCAAGTCTTGAATTTCAAGCTCGAGCTTAATATTATATCAACTCGAACTCGATCGATTACACCCCTAATTAAATATAATTAATTTTTTATGATGTAAAATTGAGGGAAGAATTATTCATAATTGATTTTATATGTACATATACAAATAAATTTTTTTATTTAATTATTATCTCATATATCATTAGTTGATTTTTTTTGTAAAAAAAATGTCAAAGCTTAAGAAAAATAAAAAAAATTGCATATGTTGGGTATCAAATCTTAACTTTACTAATTTTATAATGAATGAATTATTTAAATTAAGTTTCAGATTTGTTGATTGAATTATTTTAACTTCACAAATAAATTTAAAGAGTTGACACATATACATATAGATGTATTTAAAATTTTAATTATTTAGTTATTAAATTGATACATGCCAATTGTACAAACTCACTTGTAGAGTTGAAAAATACTCCACCATTGATGTGTATATCCTTATATTCGCTCCTTCCATCCCATATATTAAGTTTGTTAAACGAATTTGAGCAAAAAAATGAGACATATTTAAAAATAGATCGAATCTTGATTCCAATACATAAGATTCAAGTATAATCCGACTCAAATTATATAATATATTATGTCATAATGATTTTTAATCCTTGGACTAGATTGTTAGGCTTGATGAAAATTTGAATAGTCACCATCATTTTTTTTTAAAGGTGTGATTGGCCATCCAAAATTATTATTCTTTAAATAAAACATTTAAAACAAGTTTAAAGTCTATTAAAAGAATATTTAAGGTCAGTGAAATCAAGGTCGGGTACGAGCATACTGTTACGAATTACGAATGAGGAAGATATTAGCTCCTTCATATCACCCATTCAAATAACAATACCAGTTAAGCATATATTATTCTTTAATTTTGATAATATGGCCTTTTTAAAAAATATATTTGAATTTAATTCCTTTAAAATTTCCCTTATGCAAAATATATTATTATTTTTTTTTCATTTTATAAATTCTTCAACGTTTTGACAGAATTCATAAAAATATCTTTATTCAAAAAATTTTTGAAAAAATTAATCATTCATAAAATTTTTGAAATTTTGTCATAACATATTTTGAGTATTTATTAAAATTAATTTTAGGATTATCCTAACTCTTCGGTAAAACCCTAAAAAATTTTAAATAAATTTTAGGATCATCTTAACTTTCTAATGAGATCTTGAAAAAAATTATTTTTTATTACTAATAATTAAGAAAAATGAGTTTCTCCCAATTAAGAAGATATTAGCACCCTCATATCACCAATTCAAATAACAATATCAATTAAGCATATATTATTCTTTAATTTTGATAATATGGCTTTTTAAAAAAAATTGAATTTAATTCCTTTAAAATTTCCCTAATGCAAAATATATTATTATTTTTTTTCGCATTCTATAAATTCTTC